GAAGCCCTAGGCACCTCCCACTCATCTCTTTATCTCCTAGCCACCCCCAGCTCTGCAAATCCACAACTTTCACTGCAACCACTCTCTAATCTCAACCATCCAAGCCTTAGCAACCCCTCATACCCTTAGATCTCTCCCTAGACAGCAACCTAGCCTTACACCTCACTCCTTAAACCTCAACCAATCACCTTAGGGCGCCACATCACACCAACCAATCACATTTCCCCAGTTCTAGGCGCCCAAATCTACTCCCTCCATTCTAGGCACCCAAATCTCAGCCCTACATAATATCGAGCGCCCTCTCCTCCTCTTCTCAGCCTTAGGACTACCTTAGAACAATCCTAACCCTCCATTCTCAACCCTCTTTGTCTCTAGGTAAGACGAAAGGTTGTTCTTGAGAAATTCAAGGATAGAGGAAGAGGAGAATGCCCAGTCAAGAGGAGGGGTTCCTGCTTGCAGTTCGCCTAGCCACTACTGCCACCTCTGGATCCGGATCCCAACCAGTTTCCCATAGTTTTAGATTTACTTTTTACGCCTGTTTTTATTTTTTGCTCTTTAATTTTTATTTTTTATTTTATTTCTGAAATTTATTTTTATCAAATTTAATTTTTGTATTCCTTTCTACAGATCTGAACTTCGGCCAGGTAAGACAAAAGGCCCAGCTTGAGGAGTTTGAGGGTCAAATGATAGATCCTAGACTGCTACCTCTAACCGAGTTGTAGATTTTTTATTTAGTTTTTTTTTTTTATTTCTGTTATATATTTATTTTTCTGCAATTTTTACTTTCGGCATTGTTAGAATTTTATTTTAATGGATTCCAGCTCAGTTAATTAAATTTTGTGTTTCTATAATCTCAATTCTTGTTATTTTGTCTGGATTGAAGTACGTAACAATTTTTCCCTCGCTTCCCTATGGATACGACCCCTTTCTCACCACTAACTGTGTTTTATAGTTATTTTGAGAATCGAAAAATTTATAAATATTGAAACTAGTATTTCGAATTGGTTAACGACACGCTTCCGGACACACCAATCTACTACAGCAGAACTTTACCACAACAACTCTTCTCTCTGATGCTAAAGCTAGTCTTAAATCTCTAAAAGGAATCAGAGCAAACATTAATGGGAATGTCTAGGCCCTCCAAGAACACATCAAACATTTGCTTTCTTTTTTCGTTAATATTAAACTGATTTTTGTTAATAGACCTACGGTTATGGAAGCTCATCATATAGCTAGAATTGCTAGAACCCGCATAACTTATGTATGTGCTCACTATCCCCTTCAATCTTACAACAATCTTTTTGCTAGGTGTAAAATGGGGATAGTAATGTATCCAGTGTTTTTGTCAATTCCTTTTAATAGATTTTCATTTACCAAAAAAAAAAAAAGAAAAAGCGATTGATCGAATTGATCAATTTTGATTTTCAACTAACCTAAAAAACCAGTGGTTAACCAAACCAACCATATATATTTATTATAAAAATAAAAACTAAAAAAACTAAAGAAATAAACCAATCAACTAATTAACGGATGGTACCTATTCAATTTTGATTCAAAGAATTGAAAAGGCCAAAAGAGTTTGGTTTTAAAAAAAAAAATGACGTTCGGTTAACCGAACCGTGAGCACCCCTACAATAAACCATCAAATTAAGAAGTCAGATTCTACCCACATGCAAAAGAACACTCTGTCGTTCTGTCAAGTTATAGGACTTAGGAGTATAGTATATATGGGTCGGGTTTCCATATATGGATCATCCAACCCATTTAACTTGATGGCTATTGGTTTGATCAAACCGATCTAGATAGCGTCTGCCTGCGTGAGATCAGTTCGGTTTTAATTTTTAAACCATTAATAATTATGTTATTTAACAGAGAACTAGTATGGTCTGGTATTCTTTATTATGGACCGATTCTCTAAATTTTAAACATTTAGTAATAGTAACAAATAATTTATTATTTTTGTTAGTTAACAGTAATTTAAGTAATCATTGTTAATACAAATTACAAAATTATTTTATTTACTATTTTTTATTTTTAATAGTAATTTAAGTAATTATTCTGTTAAATAATTAAAAAAATCTATTTGTTTTTCTAATTTATTTATTTATTTATTTATTTTATTAATGGAAACAAAGAAGAATTTGTAATTAACAAAATTAAGTTAAAAAAAAGTAATTACTATTAACATAATTTGTAATTATTTGCCATTTTTAATTAACAAAACTTATAACCAATATTATTTATAATAAACAAAATCTATAATTATTTTTATTAATCATTACTCATATTTACAACTAACAAATTTAAGTACATTAAATAATTATGGTCATTTCAAAATTTTAAGTAATTAATTAAAAATTGGTTGTAACATAAAATATTAATAGAAATTAATAAAACATATATTATTTTAATTTAATCGATCGACAATTAATTTTCTGTTAACAAGAAAGTAATTTTTCTATTCTTATTATAGGTTTAATTAATTTATAATTTTCTCCATTATTTCTCTTGTCCCTGGGATGAATGATATCTAAGTCAAACATGTGGCCCATCTACATTCAAACACTTGTCATTCCAAAGATTTAAACAAAATGGACACGTGTCAAATTCTGGTTAGTGGTAGTTCAAGAACAGAGCCCACTAGACATGTGTCAAATTCTGATTAGTGGTAGTTCAAGAAAAGAGCCCACTAACATGCAGAGTGGAGCCCACCACCATGCAAAGTTGTGAGAAGTGGGAAGTTCCCACTTTCAATCATTTCCTAAAAAAAAGGAAACTGTGCTATTAATTACTGTTAACTACTAAACTAATTAATTAATTCTAGCTATTGATTACTAATAATAATTACTGTTAACTACTTCTGATTAATTAATTACAGCTATTAATTACTAATAATAATTATTGTTAATTACTATTAACTACTTTTAATTAATTAATTCCAGCTATTAATTACTAATATTAATTACTATTATTATTATTATAAGTAATATAATTAATACTATTATTATTCTACAATACATATTTCATTTAGTGAAAGTTAAATTATAAGCTTTCAATTATTCATTATTATTAAACTAAAAGAATTATAAAAGCATTACTATTTCAGGAATTAACTAAAAATCGTAATTATAACAAATTAACTATTTCATAATAAAAATAAAAATAATAATAACAATAAATAATAATAATAATCTAATATTACTTATTTCAAAATCAATACACACATAATAAGAATATAATGATAGTAAATAATAGTAATAATAATATACTTTTTATTATTATTGATTTCATAATTATTAATATATTACTAATCTATATTATTAAATAAAGACATGGAATAAAAAAAATATATTCAAATTACCACTAAATGAATGAACTAAAAATTTATGAGTATTCTAATTGACTTGAATTTGACACATCAACATGCCCAAAATTATAATTTCAAGCTACATTTCCTATTTCTATCTCCCAATTCCCATAATTCAAACATACCATTAGGTTATGTACAGGTTTCCCTACCTTTTTCCTAAAGATAAATTCTAGCGAGTCTACGTGCATTGTGGGGAGGTTAGACTTAAAATCCATAACCATGATTGACCAAAAGAAGTGTTGCCACCTAACTTGGAGGTGACTTCCATACTCAGGATGGTCCCATTATTCTCATTTCTTTCATGTTTCTTCTGTTGGATGGGCTTTGAGTCTTGATTATATTATTAGTTGAAGCCATACATGATGATAATTTAATTATAGTCATATATTTTTCATCTCTTACTTCAGAGGATGGATGCATCTGCAAATGTTGTTTGGTATGGATTGTTTTTCTTAGCAGCTCTTTGAATGATTTTCTTCCTTCTTTGACTCTTTGAATGGATATCATTTAAATGTTTTTTATCCATTCATATTAAGCAATGTTGGTGATATTATTGTACACATCCATCTAATTTTACTGTTTTATAAATAGATTAATGATTTCAAAGTTATTGATACTTTTATGGGGGTGGATTGTTCAACAGGACATTGATTTTTTATTGTTAAATAGTATGGGGTCATTGTCTATATAAAACATGGTAAGTCTCTTAAATCAAATAAAGAGCCTACCCTAAATGTCTATTATAAATAATTAAAAACTCAAATAATTCAAATTAAATCAAATAATTACTTGCTGAAAATTACTGGGTTAAGTAAATAATAATAATTGAAATAATTAATAATAATAACAATCATCAAGTACTTAATTAAGTAAATAATAAAAAATGAAATAACAATCATCAGTTATCATTAATGTTTATTCAAAGCATGCCCCATAATAATTACCAAATACATTAATTAAACCTTAAATAAGAATCAATATTTATTAACAATCATTAAAATTGTTAAGCCAAATCATTAATGTTTATTCTTAAATGCAAAATATGAATTAACAAATCTATTATATAATAATTATACTTGGTTGGAAAAAAATTATTTTAAGTAAATATTTAAATAATTACAAATTTAATTATTATTATTACTATATAACAAAAATTTTAAATTAAATACTAAAATAAATTAATAAGAATGGTTAAATTAAAGTAATAAACAGTTCTAGTTGAATTTAATGAACCTATAACTTTACGGGTTTGACATATAAGGGTTAATTTATATGAACCCGTAGACTGAATGAATGTCTTAAAAAATGGCAGTTTATAAATAATAATAAAAAATGGTAATAAAAAACATTAATGTTTATTTTCGTACATCGCACGGGACCCACTGGTTATTGGTTAAGAATATGACAAAAGCCACGTCACAAGTCAACGCTGAAGTTACGAATATTCCTTGGAGTTTGGATTATGGCAGAGGCTAATTTCGTAATATTAAGATGGTTCAAGGGTTATTATTGGCCAGGATTGGATTAGAAAAGGCGGGTACCGACCAACCGTAAGTCCGTATCCAACAGTCAACCGCGTTTCCTAATTCTAATTGGTTGCGTCAAATTGATTAGAATCACTCGTGCCCACCCACGCTACACTGTGACTGTCTGTGTCCGTTTCTTCTGGTGGAATTTTCGAACAACACCCTAGAGATTCCTTGGAAGCTACCCTATACTTTGATGCCTTCCAAATAGTGAATCCCACGAACTAAACCCTAACTCCTTCAACGTCGATGGCAAGGCTGCAACTACAGATCATCGTCGCCTTCCTCCTCATCCCGATTTCATATTCTTTACCCTTCATTGTATTACACGGTGAGAATATTCGCTCTTTCTCCTAAAGCCTAATTTCTTGCTCTGTCGACGTTTGAGTATGAATTTTGAACTTTCTAGTTTGACAGATGAAATCTTATTCTTAAGCATATATACTTGTCGATACTGGCCGGGTCTTGGGAATTGTGGATTTACATACTCTGAACAGTTCAGTTGTTGGTTGGGTAATGGTCTATTATCCGTCTGGTACAGGTTTTAAACTCGATAGAATAAAAAAAAATAGAAAATGCGTTGGAAATTGCAGGAACTGAATCTCTACGGGTGTGTGTATATATAGATCAATCTGTTTCTACAACTTAATAGTGGTATAAGTTCCAAATTAAAGAGGCCTAGAAGGTTATGCTACTATCATGTGTCAGTCGTATCATGGGGTGAGGGATGTTGCTCTGCACTAAAAGAATGCTATTCCCCATGCACCACATGCCTTCCATCTGCAATTTTACGGTGATGACCAAGGAAATAGGTAGCCTAGCTATATGGGAATTTGGGTGAGACTTGGCAATGAAGGCTTCATTATACTTGAAATACTGTTGACAGATAATTACTATCCATCAATTTGACGACTGTTAAAATATAGCATTCAAATATGGCAGTAATATAAGGTAAGCCCCTTACTGCCTAGTTAGTTCATGTTTAACAGTAAGATTGGTCAGCCCTTAGTCCATGCCATCTGTATTTATCTGCACTGATGGTGCTTGAACTGACTAAGCATGTGCAAGAAAGCATTCCTCTGTGTAGGCCTTTTCTTAACATATTGTATTGATTGATGAATCTGAACTTGCATTAATAAAAATCAGAACTAGTAAGAGATGCTCTAGTATCAAGAGGTTCTGAGATAAGCAAGACTAAGACAGAATATATAAAATGCAAATTTAACAATAGGAGGAGTTGATATCATTGAAGTATTAGATACCAAAACATACCTTAAAGTGACTACTTCAGTTGACTTGGTTAGATAATCCATTGTTAGGAAGAGATTAAAGACGATGTCACTAATAGAATTAGAGCAGGGTGGATGAAATGGAGACTAGAGAGGTGCATCGAATACCAATCAAGTTAAAAGGAAATTTGTACGATAAAGTACAATGGTGGATGGTCAAGAAGCAATATGTCTGAAAATTAGGTAGGAAGGATGCACATATTGAGATGAAAAATGTGGCAAAACTAGAAAGGGTAGATTTAGAAATGAGTGTACTAATGAGAAAGTAGACTAAGCTGGTTTAGGCATGTAAATAGAATACCACCTATTGCACTTCTAAGAAGTAAATATCTAATACAAATTGAAGAGTCTAGAAGAGTTAGAGGCAGACCAAAAAGGACATTGATTGAGGTAGTAAGAAATGATTCTAGAGCCCATAGTTTAGCAATCATATGGCCTTTGATAGAGTGGAATAGCAAGATAAGATTCATTGGCCAACCCTACATAGTTGGGGTAAATCTTTGTTGAGTTAAGTTGAATCCATTTCAGTTATGTGTAGCAAGGATATCTTTTATATAGTAGCTTTAATGAAAAATATATTGAAAAAGAAAAGGCACAGAGAACATGGAGAGTTTGTTTCCAGTTTAGAATATGAAAATAGGAGGGAGCAGAAAATATAAAGGTTTAACATTTAAAACAAGAAACAGGGAGAAATAAAGAATGAGAGAAAAAGAATTTTACTTGAACCTTATCTACTAAAAGAAGTTGGCAATAAGAACACAACACTATGATGCATACTTTATAAAAAGAGTAACAAAGATATCGGTTGTCATTTTGATTTGTATGCTTGTCTAAAATTCATCATTGAACTTGTATAGTTGTATTAACTCTATATTATTAAGAGTGTTACTATTCAATAGATCTCCTTCATGTTCATATTTATAGAACTGGTTCAATAGGTTTCATGAGGAAAAAAGTTTGTAGTTCTGAAAAAGATTTACGGAGCCATCTCCTTCTATCATCTCTTGATGTATTACCATTGGTTTGCTCACCTGTCAGCTCTTTTTCTTGACTATCTTATGTACTATCTATCTAACTTCCTGCATTTTGACAACCTTGCAGATAATGTTTATATAAATGATAACTTATCAAAAAAAATGTGTATATAAATGATAGTTTCATGTAACCAATCAGAGAAAAAAACGATAGTTTCATGTAGAACCTTCATTGATATCATACTGCAAACATAAATGACAATTTCATGCAAAATCTCTTGTAACATCATTCTTCTATTCAAATGTGCATTTAATGGCAGGCATTGGAGATAAATGCTCTAATCGAGGAATCTCAGAGTTCACCGAGATTCTGAGTAACTGGTCCGGTTCTAAAGGATATTGCATGTATGAATTTATAGTTTTTATGTTTTATTTTGTCTAAGATGGCTTTTTACTTTGTCCTGTTTATAAGAATGGTTTCTTGCTAATAATTTCTGAATGTATTTCTGATCTAAACATCTTTAAGTAAACTTCATTTCTGTTGGTACTCTACCCAAAAAAGATTTTCCATTGGTTCTTGTAGCTGTGCTTCTATTGCTTTCTGTATTATGTTTCTCATGTGAAGACTTTCAGATACTCAAACCAAGTAAGCATTACTAAAAATGTGGATCATTGAAGTAATATGTTAGATTTTCTATCATTTTCTTGTAGGTCCAAACAGTTTATAGCTGATTCACGGTGTTAAGCTTATGGTTATAACTTATGGTATATGGTGAAAATCCTAAATACAAAAAAAGGGTTTTGTTTCTCTGATTGAATGTTGGCTATCAAGAAAAAGAGAAAAAAATAGAGCATCACAAATAGGGCATTTAATTGTAATGACCTGAACACATCAGCAAGGAGTTTAGGATAATCAATTTAGCTGGTACTGTTGTAGCCAGTTTTAAGCTGAAACTGATGCATGCTAGTCAATTGAGCATAATAGTGACACAACTGTGTTCACAAAGATTGATGCCTGTGATCACAACTGATATTCTTAGAAAAATAAAAGTTAAGGGCCTTAATAGAGCAAGTAGAGCTCATTATGTATGTCTGGGATTTGGAGGCCCTAGAAGATTCAATTGATCCATTGTAAGAATTTTATCAAGAAAGATGAGCCACATTAAATCCTTTATCTTGGGAGCTGTCTGCAAGAAATAGGATTACAAAATCAAAGATTTACCATATACAATTTACAGTCCTGCCAACCTGAGTGTAAATCCAATGAATCCTTCAGAAAAGGATGCATAGCTTCCCAAAAGTTACTTCAATTATTGTACTGAAACCTGATTTTGGAACCATCTTTGGTTTTGAATTCTGTAGGAGGAACATGCCTGTGGTACACTTCATAATCCATTTCAAGAAATTAACACTATTAAGTGAAACTAAGCAGGTGGACTAACTAAAAGGAGCTTTTCCATATTTAGCCACCACCACCCTTTTCCATAACATTGCATATCCTCTATAGTGAATTCCTAACTGTTAAGCCATTTGTAAATTGATGTTTATTCACGAATCCTATCTTTCTAGACCAAGCTACCAAATACTTTAGGACATACCCATTCTGTTAGACAAGAGAAGACTTCTTTACCTCCCTTTTACCAATCTACGAGAGATCCTTCTTCTCAAGCCTCTCAACCAGGGCACCTTGGGGGGGGGGATAAAAGTCTTTGTTTCTTATTAATTTAATCTGACCAATAAAGGATAAGAAACACCTCTTTCAGCCAGCTAATTTTCTGTCCATTTTTTCAGCCACCTGGTCTTAACCTTGCTCAAGAACTGTGATAGACTCTAAGTAACGAAGCTTCTTCGAGGGAGCTCCTTCCTCCAGAAACAGAGTTACGAGAGAGAGAGAGGGAGGAAGAGAGAGAGAGAAAGAGAGAAGACGAAGAAGAAGAGAGAAACTAAGTTGGTTATGCTTTTTCTCCTCATTCAGTTCTACCCGTAGGCCTTATATAGGATTTCCTCCTAATCAGCTCATCATGACCACGCGCTTATGCATGTGGGTGGTTAAGACGTGGCCTGTGGCTGTAAACAAATCGCAGGGGAGGCTTGCAATGCTTTGCATGTGCCACTCCTGCTGCTGCATGGGCCTGGGCCTGGTGACCCGATGGTGGATTACCTACCTGGGTTCTATCATCTCCCCCACCCTTAAGAATGACCTTGGCCTCAAGGTCAAGATGGGGAAACTGCTCTTGCAACTTATTGAAGTCTTCCCAAGTGGCATCTTCTGTGGGCAGGTTTGTCCATTGAACAAGGGCTTGCTTCACCACTTTGCGACCAATCTTTATCCAGCGGATATCTGAGATGACATTGGGCTCAACAATCAGCTGCCCTTCACTAGTAAACTCAGGTAATAGTGGCTTCACCAAGGCTGCATCTGTTTGACATGGCTTGAGGAGCGAGACATGAAATACTAGGTGGAGCCGGGCAGTACTCGGCAACTCTAATTTGTAAGCCACTGCTCCCACTCTCCCTGAGATGCGGAAAGGACCAAAGAAATGAGGTGAGAACTTCTGCCATGCTCGTTTTGCCAGAGATGAATGCCTGTAAGCTTGTAGTTTCCCCCACCTGGTACTCCACATCACGATGTTTCTTTTCATACTACATCTTCATGTAATTCTGGGCTTTGAGTAAGTGGTTCTTGAGTGATTGAAGTGCTTCATCCCTGGCTTCGAGTTGTTGTTCAACCTCTGCAACTGATGATGTGCCCTTCTCATAGGGTAACACGGAGGGTGGGTCCCTTCCATACAAGATCTTGAATGCGGTGGTCCTAGTAGAAACATGTTAAGTGGTATTATACCAGAATTCAGCCCACGGAAGCCATTTTAGCCACTGGGTAGGCTTTTCTCCCGCGAAACACCTGAGGTAGGTCTCTAGACAAAGGTTAACCACTTCCGATTGCCTGTCAGTCTGGGGTGGTAGCTGGTGGAATGGTAAGTGTGAGCACCCTGTGCCCGAAAGTATTCTTCCCAGAATCGACTCACAAAGGTTAGGTCCCGATCTGTGATGATAGTTGTTGGAGTACCATGGAGCTTAGCCACTTCTCGAATGTAGACCTGATCTACTTGAGATGCCGTGTAGGGGTGGGAAAGCACAGAAAAGTGCGCATACTTGCTCAATCTATCCACAACAACCAGTATAACAGATTTCCCTCCAGACTTAGGCAACCCTGTAATAAAATCCATAGTTACCTCATCCCACACCTGATTTGGAATGGGTAAGGGCTGTAGCAACCCAGCTGGGGTTTGGGCCTGGTATTTCTGGGTCTGGCATACAAAGCAACTCGCAACAAAATCCTGCACCGCCTTCTTCATTCCCCGCCAATAGAAGTGTGTTGCAATGTGATTATAAGTTCTGATCATCCCAGAATTACCTCCCTCTACTGTCTCATGGAACAACTTCAAGAGATTTGTGTGAAAAGCCGATTTGGGTGCTATCACTAGTCGCCCTTTGTAGAACAAGTCTAAACCCACTAGGGAGTACCCTGCCACTCTGCTTGCCCCTGATCCCAACTGTTCCCGAATCAGTTTTAATTCATCATCTTGTTGAGCTTCTTCCTTGATGCGATCAAGCAAGGAGTGGAGAGGTCTGTAAACTGTCAAAGAGTTCATTTCTTCTCTTCTGGATAGAGCATCAGCAGTTGTATTGGATGGGCCAAGTTTGTATTCAATGGTAAAATCAAAGCCCATTAACTTGCTGGCCCACTTCTGTTGTTCAAGATTAAGAATCCTTTGTTCCATCAAATGTTTGAGACTCCTCTGATCAGTCCTGATTGTGAATTTTCACCCCAACAAATAAGCTCTCCATTTGTGCACCGAGAACACCAAGGCTATCAACTCTTTGTCATAAGTAGACTTTAATTGGGCCTGGGCTGATAGGAACTTACTGAAATAAGCAATAGGGTGTCCCTCTTGCATCAGGACTGCACCAATTCCTCTACCCGACGCATCACACTCCACCATAAAGGGCTTGGAAAAGTCAGGTAAGGCCAGGGTAGGTGGTGTCGTCACCGCCTTCTTGAGGGATTCAAATTCCACCTCCACTTGTTCTGACCAAGTAAAGGCGTCCTTCTTCAACAGAGCTGTAAGAGGGGTGGCTAGGGAGGCATAACCTTTTATGAACCTTCTGTAGTAACCGGTGAGACCCAGAAAACCCCGCAAACTCTTGATGGTCTTGGGTCGAGCCCACTGAGTCATTGCCACAATTTTCTTAGGTCAGTCATTACAGTCCCACGGGAAATTAAGTGCCCCAAATACTGAATCTGTGTTTGGCCGAAAGTGCACTTAGAAGGCTTGGTGAATAATTGATGTCGCCGGAGAATCCCAAGGGTTGACTCCAAATGTTCTAAATGAGAAGCCCAATCACTACTATAGACCAAGATATCATCAAAGAACACCAAGATAAAGTGCCTGGGGTAGGGCCAGAAGATATCATTCATGAGGCTCTGGAAAGTGGAGAGCGCATTATTCAATCCAAAAGGCATGACCAGAAATTCATAGTGGCCTTCATGGGTCCTGAAGGCCGTTTTGTGGATGTCTTCTGGATGGACCCGGATCTGATGGTAGCCAGATCATAAATCCAGTTTAGAAAAATAAACAACATGCTTCAACTCATCAAATAGCTCATCTATTAACGGAATTGGAAATCTGTCCTTCACAGTGATGCTATTGAGGGCCCGATAATCAACATAGAAACGCCACGTTCCATCCTTCTTCTTGACGAAGACTGGAGAAGAATAGGGACTGTGGCTCGGTTGTATCAGTTGCTTGGACAACATTCTGCGACTATTTTGTCAATTTCAGCCTGCTGAACATGTGGGTATCTGTAAGGCCTGACATTGGTGGGTTGGGCCCCCGGCTGAATAGGAATGTGGTGATCCTGAGTACATACTGGTGGTAGGCCATTTGGTTCTCCAAAGACATCTTGATATGCTGCTAAGAGTTGTTGTAAAATGGGGTCTTCTGTCACCTTGTGGGTTCTGTTGTCACAATAAACATTGGGCCCTACACCCAATGAACCCAGATAGACCAAGGTCGTTACATTGGAGTGAAGGCTATAATTGACAACATGCCGGGCCGAACTGGCTGCTGGTTCGGTTGGTCCAATCCCCTTTAAATGACATGGCTTCTCATTCATCCAGAAATCCATAGTCAGGAGGGTCCAATCACATACTGTTGGCCCGAAGAGTTTTAAGCCATTGGATCCCCAAGACTAAGTTAGCCCCACTAAAATCCAAGGGATACAGGTCCACGCTGAACACATGGCCCTGAATTCTAAGGCCCACGGCCTTGCACAGCCCATCACAAAGTATCTACTATCCATTAGCTGCCTTAATAGCAAAGGGAGTAACCGCCTGCACCTCTAGGCCCATTTGTCAAGCTAGGTCCAAAGTGATAAAGTTAAGGGAACTCCCACTATCAATTAAGATGCACACTTTTCTACCCTTAAGAACACCATGCACTCTCATAGTCTCAGTGGAGTGGAGCCTAATTAGGGTGTGGAGTGAGATCTCTGGGTTTTCTTCGACGGAATGTTCCGCCTTATCAGGGACCATGGGTACGGTATCCACATCTTCATTCTCATCCAGGTTGTCAATAATTTGGAGAAGGAACATCTGTTGGGCCTTGCACTTATGTCCCAGAGAAAATTTCTCCTCACAGTTATAGCACAAGCCTTTTTCCCGACGAGCCTGCATCTCGGCCCCCAGGTGAGTTTTCTCACAATGGGGGCCGGCGGGGAGTGTGATTGAGCCGGGGTTAGCTCGGTTTTGGATGTCAAGGGTTTGGGAGCGACCTGAGAATTCCCGTCCATGGGTTCCTTCGAGCTCAGGCCAATTTGTCTTCATGCAGATGGGCTAGGCTCACCGCAGCCAGCACAATAGAGGGTTGCAGGGCTTTCACTTCTAGTCTAATGTCTTCCCTTAAGCCACCAATAAAGCAGCCAGTGAGAGCATGTTCCGGCCATCCATGCACTCTCGTGGCTAGCCGATCAAATTCAACCTGATATTCTCGAATGGAGCCAGTTTGTTTTACTCTAGATAAAGCTTCATCAAAATTTTCGAAGCTGGAAGGACCAAACCGTATTTGCAAGGCCTCCACGAAGTCTAACCAAGACAACTGTGGATGTGAACGGCGGTACCATTGGTACCAGAGACTAGCCTCTCCATCAAGATGGATGGAGGCAATCTGCACTCTCTGACCGGCCAGAATTTCATGAAAATCAAAATACCGTTCTGCACAATAGATCCAAGGAGAAGGATCGTCACCTGAATACGTGGGAAATACCAGTTTGGGACTGCAGAGGTTGAAGGTGTCGCTCGGTTGAAGAGCACTGCTGCTCGATCCCTCCTGGTCTGCCTCCTTGCTGGGCCAGGATAACATTCGCTCGAGCTGAGATACCACCACAGAGTGGGCGTCCTTCATACTTCTCAGTTCACCCTCCATCCGGTCAATTCTGTCTTCTTGTGACTGGTTGCGAGTTGTGGGCATGGCGGATCAGGGGCTTTTAACACTCCAAAGAGAAGTAAAATAAAAGCAAGGGACACCTCTTAGCAGACCAAAATACCAGCACAAAATGGCTATTTCTTCATCATAGTTATTCTTTTGGAGATTTTCAGAGAACCAGAGAATGACTAAGATACTAGACTCAAAAAGTAGAGAGATAAACATTAATTTATCATCTGCATATTGAATATGGGAAATGAGAGGAGCATGATTAATATGCCATAGATCAAATTTCCATAAATATATCATCTAGGTGCAGAGAAAATAAATAGGGCCAATCCATCATATAATGAACATAGAGAAAGTGACGATCAATAAGCTGTTATAGACCTGAATTATGTGACTGTATGTTCAATTTCCAGCTGCTGTGTGATCATAGCAGTATCGGAGGCTCCCAGAAACTTCGCATCTGAATCAGAGGCAAGGAGGAATCCATGCCTTCTCTGGAAACCCATCATCATTATAGGACTGATAAAAATAAAGGGGAGAATTTACTAAGTCAATTCTTTTTTTATTGTGGAAATCCAATTTGGTTGTTGATATTCTGAAACGAAAGAATGGGGAATCCTGCTTCCTGATTTGTTTCTCTTCTTTGCCCATGTCTTTGTGTGGGAAATTTTTTTAAAATAATTTAATTTGTGTATGCAAAAATAGTAGTCTGACTTTTCTTTCCTCTCTGTAGAGAAATTGGAGATGGAGCATGGGATTCCTGGGTTATGCCCCTTCAGGAACAGGTTAGACATGCATGCTTAAAACAAGATTCCCAGCTTATCATATGTGCTCCTTAACATTTGTTTGTAATTTAAAACTTTTTACTTGTTTGCAGACAGGGATCGTCTGTGATAAGGTCATACTGCCATTTGGGTAATGTGTTCAGTTTTCTGGTTCTAGAATTTGAGGCTTAACGTGTTTTGTTAACAAGTTCACTAATTGATTGACAGGTGAAGAAAATGAAAGAACTAAGTGGGGGCTACAACATAGTTGGACTTTCCCAGGTGCTACAGAATTTTTCTATTTTAGACTTAATGTTATAATGTTATAATTTTTTTTTACCGAGAAAAAAAGGATGTTATAATTTTCTTTTAACTTTTAGAATGTTTCATATGTCATTGTGAATCAGAGATCCAATGCCCTTTGGTGTAGTTTCTCCTTTTACTTTCCATGTTTGAGCCACTTTTTAGCTTCAATATATCATTTCATTATATCCATATATCATACACTATGAAAGGAAATGAACTCATTATTTGAAAGAAGATTGGTAACTTAGCTCGACCTGAGAGTGACTATAAAATGCAATTTTCATACTGAACATTTCAGTGGTTCTGCATCCTCATAACTTCAGTTACATGCAAGTATGATGATGGATTTTCAAACAATTATATCCAATCTTGTTTTACAATACATCTTGGGTTCAATCTCATGGAGGATGGCATTGGTTGTAATTTCAGTTTTTCCATTTTTTTTTCTGTCCAGTTTGTTTTTACCTGCCTAGCTTCAGACTTGCTTTCTAGTTCAAATATTAAGGCATATCAAAGATACCATTGCTAACATTCTAAACATTTGTTCATTTCCCCAGGGTAACATGATAGCTCGAGGGGTTATTGAGTTTTGTGATGGAGGACCTCCTGTAAGCATTTTTCTAATTTGTACTTACCTGTTCATTATGCAATTATTCAAAAATTTTCTGGGCCATTCTTCCTGTTTGTATCTTGAAATTGGCTTTTTTTTTGCATAAACAATTGACTGAAGAAAAGGCCATCTTGATGGAATCTTTCCAATCTGCACCAATGTGGATGGATTAGTGGCACATAAGATTAAAGTTCATCTTAGTATATTTGAAAAGGATTAAACATGAAATAATGGACTACCAAAATCTATAAAAATGTATAAGACCATCATGGTTATCTTCATTGGAATTTTGTATACCCAACTTTTTGGTCAAATCTATAAAATAGATAATTTTCTTTTCTTCTTTCTTTTCTGAGGATATGGCTCAACAAAATATTCAGCAATGAGAATTTTTTGTCTAATAGAGGTAAAATATCAGTTTATTAATTTGAATATTTATCCTCTGATTAAAAAAACCATTTTATTTCAACACATTGAAACATAGAATGTTTATGTGTTAAAATAGGACAATTTTCTATCTTAGGTGTTGTAGGTATGCCAGTCTTATAGGTGCAACTAATCCTTGATCTGGTTGACCCGGGCACCTGTGAAACAGTGATCATGAATATTTTCAATTCTGATCTCTTTAATGAAAGAACTAAGAAAGTTTCCAATCACTAACCAGGTCACTGCCAGTAAGTATCAGTCAGACAATATTAGCAAAATTGGTGTTTTCAGAAGACATTGCTTGAAATTGAATTTCCAATACACTACTGCTTTAGTCCTTGCTTACATATAACTGTTGCATTCTTTTCCGTGTGTTAGTTCTGTTATTACTAATCTTCTGTTAATTTTTTCTCATTTTTATTCCATCTTGAAAAGGAACATAATGGTTTTATTTTATCCAGAAAAGGAATATAATGAGAATTTTCTGCTTCCTATCTTTGGAACAGGTTAAAAATTTTGTCTCACTGGGAGGTCCTCATGCTGGCACTGCTTCTGTTCCACTTTGTGGTGTAAGTTCTTCTACAGGGTTTTAATTGTTTTCATCATTTATCCAATGCGCTTTAATAACTTATTTAGGCTGCAGAAAATTGGACTAACTGTAGAAGAAGAATCTAAGGTTTTAATTTAATCTGTATTTTATTATGGCATTGGATAGAGAAATAATGAAATTGACAACCTACAAAGTAATAATTATGTCTTACTCAAAATATAGGGGGGTCTCCAAAGAGTTAAAAAGTCTGTTACTAAACAGGATAACATTTAACTGTCTCATGACTGGGCCGCATTTTTTACTTCATATTGTTTGTAATTTGTATGCTTTTAGATTCAAAGGAGGAAGAAGCTAGCTCACCTACTAAAATAGTCTATAATAGGCAGCTTCCTTTTTGAATAATAATGCTACTACCATTCCAGCAATATCCACCCTGATCTATTAGAATATGAAAATGATTCTAATACATCCAAGTTCATAAGTTGAGTCCGAAAGAGGATTTGAAGTTCTTGAATAGTGTAAAATAAGAGTAAACAGAGGAAGAAGAAGAATTTGTTTTATTATTCATCAATCTCGTATGTATATATACAAGTTACAAATTCTATGTTAGGAAAGAA